AGAAGGTGTAATTTCAAATCCATACAATTATAGCCAGATCAAGAGCCTTCCACGGAGACAAGCGACTGATGTCTCTTTGTTTGTCTTTTTTCTCAGAGCCATCAGTGAGCTTCCTGATAGAAACTTGTCAGCAACCAATCACTGAGGATCGTGGAGGAATGAGGGCCAATCAGCCAACCTAGACAGGTTACCAGCTTGAACTCGCAGTCAGTTCCCCCTTGGAGCCTCTGGTGTAGAGAGCTAAAAGAAAATCTCTCTTAATAGCCAGCAAAATAGACTTGATTGCTGTGTTCCCAGAAGGTCAGCTATGTCATCACTATCGTGTCAACAAAAGAGTTAGGATTGTTGCTTTAGCATTTTGACTGAGGATGCTAATCAAAATCAGTCAACACGCAGAAACTGGCATTGGTACTTTTCATCAAGTTAATTCTTATGGTTTTCATGGCTCTCTACAAACCCCACTGAACTGGCTGTGGCCAGCACTTCCCTCACAGAAGAACTGCTTCCTCTAGATTGTGCCTTCTCAGAGAGAGACAGCTCACAAATAGCATTGGTGAGAGATTTTCCAGCTGAGACACTGCAATGAGTTTATTCACTCATAGAAAACATAGATATTTTCCCTGTGGGAAGTTTCTATAACTTTGTCCTAAAAAAATTCTAAAGAGTATTTGCTTCTAAAATTCAAGCAAAACTTTACCTGGAAGGTAGCTATGCTCACCACTATACCACCAATGTGCAAAACTTTACTTGGGATAACAAAGCATTGTGTGCTCTACTGGCCCACGTTAAGGATGTTGAACAAGTGCATAAAACTGAAGACTTCTCCTGAATTTTCCAGATTAACTCTATAATTTCCAGCCTCTCCAAGTCTTTGCTTCTATCATTCTTCATCTTATTAGTTTCCATTTCCCCATCAACATTTCCTTGTTGTATTATTTTCCTGTTTTATTCCTAAAGACATACTCTTTCCTTTAGATAATTAAGAACAAATCCTAATTATTTGATGCCTAAATTCTATCCTTAATGTTTCACACTTTGCAAGGAATTTAATGTATATAGCAACGATTTAAGTGAGAAGATGTCTTGATGTGGAGATAAATGATATATTATCTGATAATTCTTTACTTACAGAAGTCTAATATATATGAAGTACTTTCCATTTTTTTAACCGTGACACTGTGCATTTCTAATAATAAAGTGACTATCCATGGGAAGCCCCATTAAATGTACACATATGTATTATTTTTACCATGTTACCCAAGAAAATGCCTAAAATCTAGCAAATGAACAACCTTGCCTAGGGCCAGGTTCACCCCAAGTGAGTGGTCAAATGAAAACTGAATGATCAGAGAAGACTTTTTCCCTTCCCCAGGAAAGTAAGTGCCCTGGAAAGATGACATAGAGCATTTATGACATGTCAAAATATAAACCAAGCCTGGCCCTACGCAACACACATCCCCTGGAGAACCGGGCAATTTTACTACAGCAATGTTAGTGACCTAAGGGGGCACATCCGAAAATGTTCAGTCTACTGGAGAAGTGAGTTCACCTCCTCCGATCATCATGATTATGATATTCACTCCCTCTGCACCCTGCTACAAACCTGCAAGCGTCTGCCTTCAGCCCTGCTTCTTTCCTACCACAGCAACAGATGAGCTCTTTTTCCAAAATGCAAGGTACGGTAGTCTCTACCTGTGTTCCACTCTATGTCTTCAGACACCTCACCCAGCCAATTACCCCTCTTTGCTCACATATTTCCCACAATTCCTTTCTATATGGAATTTTCATCTCTGCGTAGAAATCAATGCGGCACCCTTAGTTAAAGGCATCATTTTTAAGGTATCTTTTTCTAACCACTTTCCATTTAGATCTCAGCTCAGTGACAAAAGAAAGTCAGTAAATCCTGACCCTTTGTTTTCATTCTGTGCTCAGTTAGCACACTGCAAATTAGCCTGCAGAGCAAGGAAACTCAAATCTTCAGCCACGTAAATCCAGAGTCTTCACTGATTTCTCTGAGCTCTACACTCATCTATTCAACTTCTTATGACATCTTTTCCCTTGGCAACATCAAAGATATCTCAAGGTCAATCTGAATGGAACTTTAACTCATCATCGATCTCTTGTAAACATTTACTTTCCATCCGATTACTGTCTGAGAGAGACGGCCACCCCTCCTCAACTACAAAACCTGAGGTCACACTCAATTTAATCTTCTCCTTTACCTTGAACTTTTAACAACTCCACAAGTTCTGTTCTGCTTTTTAGCTAATTCTTCAGAGTTCTCCAACTTTCTATTTCCAGTGTTGTTCTTAGTTCAGGCACGTGATTGCTCCTGTTTAAACTACTGAAATATCTTTCTAGCTAGATCTTCCTGTTTCCAACTCTATCCTTTTAAATCTACCTTCCTTTCTAAATGGCAGAATGATTATCCTAAAATTAAAGTTATTTAAAATCGTGTAGTGTTTTTACAATTCAAATCCAACATTTCTAGCATAATAGTAAATATAATCTTTCATCAGTCCTTGATGATAGATCTAGGTTAGTTAATTGCCATCTGTCCGTAAGCTGAATTCCCACCATATCAAAATATTTTAGATCTGTCAAATACTATACATCCTGCTTCCTCAAGACTGTATTTATTCATCCTTTTCTTTTGCCTACAAACATGCTAGCTTCTGTTTTTCTTCTAGGTAAATTATATTAAAACTTCAAAGATTACCTAAGTGTTACATTTCCACTGAAGTCTTTGGCTACTGTCCCCAAACTCCTCCGGACCTGTGCTGAGTATCTTTTCTCTGTGCTCCCTGTGTAACTGCTTCCTAGAATTTTTAAAACATCGGGGTAAGAACACTTACACGAGATCCAGTCTCTTCACTTTTAAGTGCACAGTACAATATTGTTAATGCTAAGCATAGTATTGTATAACAGATTTCTATAACTCAGTCAGCATAGTATTGTATAACAGATTTCTATAACCCAGTCAGCATCACTGAAACTTTGTATCTGTTGGATGGCAATTTTTTGTTTACACTTCCTTCAATACTGGAAATCACCATTCCACTTTTGTTTTTTTTTAGTTTAAATATTTTTGGTATCTTTTCTAAGTGGAAATACGTGGTAGTTGTGTTTCTGTAACTAGCATATTTCACTCAGTACAGTGTCTTTGAGACTCACAGTGCTGCATATTGATTACAGGATTTCTTCCTTTTAATGGCTGAATAATATTCTATGGTACATTTTTATCTCATTATCCATTCACCTACTGATGGATTTATGTTGCTTCCCATCTTGGTTATTGTGAATATTGCTGCAATGTATATGGAAAGGCTAATGATATGTCTCCTCATAACATCTCGTCTCTTTGTTTTTTTCAGTCTAACATACGTGCATTCACCAGTGAAGTTGTCCTGGCTAAAACTCCTGGCACCAGCTTCTACCTAGACATCAACCGTCATCCCGTCGACTCCCCTAGACCCCAGTACTGCACCCTCAGCCAGCAGGAAGTAGTTAAAGAGAAAAATCTTTGCCCCTTTTCCTAATAATCATAAGACAGGATATGAAAGGGTTGCTGGCCCAGACTGGACGCTATAGCCAGAAAAAGCCTCAGCCGGAATTAGGGAGCTCCTGCCTCCCCCGCCCCTGGAGATTTACCTGTAACCCTATACCCCCACCCTTAATAACCTGCCTCTGGCACCAAACTAAGACCAATGGGCTACCTGTACATCTCTAATGCCCCTTAGGATCCACCCCAGACAGAGGCTACTTATGTGCCTCACTCCACGTGTTCCAGAGAGAGATCACCGGCCCCGGGGTGAAGATGCCGTGCCCCAGGGGTTAGGGGGTGTCTCTCCCCGCATTCCCAAAATAAAGGTTACTTATATTTTATACTTCTTATCTTTTCAGCCACCACCGCCGGCCAGTCCTCCCCGCTCTTCCCCTTTACAGACTTATCAGCCAACAGTGCCTCAAAATCCCGATTTTAATTCTTTTGGCTAAATACCTAGAAGCAGGATTATTGTGCTATATGACAAAGTTTCATTAATTAAAACAGCACAGTACAAACATAAATGTATATATTGATGAAGGCAACAGAATGAAAGTTTCAGAAATGACTCTTCACGTGTACAGTCAGCTTATCTTCAACAGGGGAAGCAAGAATCCAATCAGGAGAGGGCTTTCAGCAAACAACACCAGGAGAACTGAATATCCACATGCAAAAGAGTGAAACTGAGCCCTTATCGTACACTATGGCCAAAATGCATTGAGCACTGAAACACGAGTCCTACAACCATGTGACTCCCAAAAAACAACAGGGGAGAAACCTCACGACAATAGTCTTGCAGTGATTTCACGGATATGACACCAAAAATGCAGGTAAACAAAGCAGGAAGAGGTGAGAGGGATCTTCTCACTGACCTGAAAAACTTCTGCACAGTAAGAGACCGGCAGCAGGTGAGCTGCTTTGGGTGCACTTTTTACTGCTTGGTATTTGTTGCTTTCCTTGTTTTTCTTCATACACATGCACGCTCACATGCGCACACGCACGCACACTCACAGGCGCACAAGTGCAGGTACACTGCTTGCTAAATGGAGCCTGGCACAACAAGCTCTGTGAAATCAACATCAACGCTGTAGGATGATTCTTACACTGGATTTTGGCAGGAGGAGAAAAAGACAATCGCAGGCATCCTTCCCAGAAAATTTCCCAGAACGTCCTCGGCTATCAAAGGATTACTCCTTGATTCCTGTTTGTCCCTTGTCTGGACAAGTTTAAAGAGTCACAACAAAATTGGCTCTGTTCACCATGGGGAAATAGCTTTCCAAAAGTCAAACAGTTTCTTGCGAGTTTGCGTAACATGTGTCATAGCCAACCATGGAAAGTTTTACCTTAGTGATACAAAGATTCTAACTTCGGTTCTCAAGCACATTCTCACAGTTCAGGTCTATAACAAGACTAGAGGCTGAACAAACTGAAGAACAGAATAATGGTAGCACCTTACCTGAGACAGTACATATAAAAAATCAAGGAAGAAATGATGAACAGGAAGATGTACAGTAGCACGGTGATCGATGCACCAAGAATTCCTGATTGTTGTGATCTTACAAACATCCAGTAAAGTTTTGCTGCATCAGCTGTAGGAGCCTCCTCACTATGGACAAGCCGCTGACAAGGGAAAACACAGATTAAAAGAATAAGAATGGAAACACTGATGATCAAGTTAGGCTAAAGACACAAAGACTGTGTGAAACTATAATGTTTTGAAATTAAATATGCGAAGTACCAACACTTGCCAGATCTTCCTCTCCAGAAAGATGGACAAGTTGGGGAGGACTGGACTTAAATGCTTAGTTTACTGTTTTTTTTTTTTTTTTTTCATTTTTCTCTCTAAGCCTTTAAATGCAAATACTCAACCCACCATTCATGAAGGTAAGGCCATGTTTTATTTATACTATTTGTATATACTATTGTACTATTAACTTCAGAATTTAATGAACAAAAGATATGAAGAAATTAAATACAATGGTAGAAAGATGCCCTTATGTCTGAAGCAGATTTGATAGGAATTTAATTTGTGCTATGCATAGAAGAGATGTTTATTTTAGAAACTTATAAAAATAGTTATCAGGCTATTTAATGTGAGCTTGGAAACCAAAGTTTACTTTAGGTTAATTTAAAAGTAAGCTTTTGTTTTAAATGAGGAAAACATTTTATATTGGACTATAAAGAAACAGATGGAAGTGACTTATAACAAAAGGAACAAAAAGATAAATATAAATTGCTAAGGACCTGCAGTATCAGCATATAACCCCATCCGCCTTTGACTTTTGTAAAATAAGAACATTCTTTAATTACAGACCTCATAACATCAAGTGAAATTGATATGCAATGGAAGTATGAAGTATTTTTCTCCAAGATGAGAAAAGAGGAGATATCTTTAGTTTCTAAGATGACAATTATATAAATATAGTTTAAGACACGTTTAAAGTACTAATCCAAATCACATATGTGTAGAAGAAAAAAAACCTAAACAGGTTAATTTGTATTTCCTTCACACTAAAATATACATTCATTGGGCACTGACTAGAATTCAGATGCTTCAATTCTCAACTACCGCTTCTTTTTCTACACAGTGAAGTTTTATTTTTATAGTCTGCATTTGTCAACCAGTCTCCCAGGCAGCATGGGACCCACTGCGAAGACTCCAGGCAGCAGATTGGTAAATATTATCAAGTATTCCTCTTTTTCCAGAGCTTACCTTTTATTATTCTTTAAGGATAAAGAATAGACACAGACTCATTGGTGGATCAACAACAACAAAAACGATGTGCTTGATGCCAATAACATAATTGATAGGAATTGATATGGACACTGACAATATCCCCCAGTGTCCTCATACATTCAGAGGCAGGGATTTTGGAAGGCAGTGGGATCATGGGAGCTCTCTAATCATCAACAGAGTTTCATGTGCCTTAGGAGATAGGGCCAAGTGGGAAGGGATGGGACAGCTGGGTCACCCAGAATGGTTTGTCTCTCTTGGGCTCTTCTCTTCTCTCTCTGCTTCCTGGTGACCAGGAGGTGAGCAGCTTTCCCCTGCCCATCCCCTTCCACAGAGATGGTTGCCATGCAATCAGCTGACCCTGGACTGAAACTGTGAGCCAAAAGAGATCCCTCCATCTTACCTTGTGGATGCTGGATACTCTGTCCCAAAAAAATAATGAGATAATGATCTATCCCGAAGATAAGGATCACTCATTTGATCCACCTATATTGAACTCCTACTTTCTTTACACTCAGAAGAGAAAAGATGGAATAAAGTTAGATCAAAGCATCACCGCCTTCTTGGAATATGATTTTCAGTGTCGTGGGATGAGTGATAAGTAAGCATGCAAGTAAGACTAAGAAATATGTTCCATCCATGAGTGATCTGAGGAAGATAAAGAAAAGAAGCTATAATAGGTATGTGAGCCCACGCTCTCTATCCATGTGACAAAATACCTTAGGAAAACACTTACAAGCAGGATGGGTTTATGTTGGCTCAGTTTCAGGGCTTCAGTCTATGATCAGTTGCCTCTTTGTCTTCCATTTGTACTAAGCTATGTCATTGTACCATGTCGTTGTGTGTGCACAGTTTTGATTTCCTAACTTGATTTTAAAACCTTCCCTGAACCATTCAGGCAAAGGCTCTTTCAGCTTGCACCACCCATAGAACATGGTCTCATGGGGTCGTGGAGTCACGGCCTTGGGATGTTTGTCTGGCTCCCTGCACTTTCTACTCTGGTGCTCTTCTTCTGCTCTGCTTCTGCTGCCTTGAACTGAGCAGCTCTGCCCCACCATGTGCATCTGACATGATGTCTCTGTTTTGAAGCCAACCAACCAGATTAAACTTCTCTTCCTTAAAGCTGTAGGTGCAGGGTGCTATATCTCAGCAAGGAGAAAGTGACTAACACAGCAAACTTTGGTGAGCACCAGAATACCCTGCTAACCCTTTCCCAGAGCCCCTTGTGTGGGCCTGCATTTGCATTTGTCACTTCCCAAGCGATATCACTACTGTTGGTTCAAGGACCAAGCTTTGAGAACCACTGCTATAGATCAGTACTTCCCACGCTTCAGTGCCCTCTCAAATCACCTGCTGAAAATATTAAAATGCATATTTAAGTCCATCCAGGGACATGTCCAAGTACATGTCTATAGGTTCCCAGGGAATTCTGATGCTTCTCATCTGTGGATTACACACAGTTTTAAAGATCTTTTTGAAAGACACTGGGAGTAAATATCATTTGCAATAAAATATGATGGATGCTAACTGGAAAACTGGTAACTTCGGAGACTTAGAAGAAACATTTAGCTTTTCTTCCCAAGTACAAAGAGACACTGGTGCTATATTCATCTTTTAGAAGCCAAGTCAGTTTCATCAAATTACAGACCTTGGACTGGTTCTAAGATGGCTCTGCTGGAGGCTACTTTCCTGAAGATTACATCTGAGGCCCCAGTGTAAATTAAGCCTGCTCATTTTGTCATTTGCCTTGGATACAGTGGACGGGTTGGCCATTAATCTGCCTAAGGACATAAGGAATAAGGAATGCCATCCTATGCAGACGTTCCTTCTGAGAAACGCCTGATGATCATACAGGACAGCTGCTCATCGCTCCCAAGAGCTTCCCATCTGGCCTGGCACAGGCTCAGTCCCAGCACTACATCTACTCAATATGCATGTCAGGCCTCTGGGAGGAATTGGGAGATGCCAGGGGATATGGTTCTCTTCCAATGCAGATGCAATCCTCTCTATATCTTCTGCTCAACAAACCTTGACAACACCATCTCCTTCGCACTGGTCTATAAACTAAAGGAGGTAAGATGTGGACACAGTCTAGCTGGCTCTCCCTCAATCCACACAGGATCAGAAGGAATCTCAACAGAAGGGTGGAAAACACTTTGAGATGGCTCCAAAGGTTCCCTCTTCTGCAATGCTATCTGGGTGATCTGTGATTCTGAGGCTAAAGAGAGTGGTTGCACGCCAGCATGTGAAAACAAGTCTGCTGTCAAGTTCTCTGGAACTGCTTTGCATATGGCTCTGCCTCCAATTCCAGCAGCAGTACCAGGAGCAGGCTACACTGGTAGGCTCTTTGTGGACTGTTTTAAAGTTCCTTTAATAACATTAAATGATCTACATGCAGGCAAGGTCAAAGATGTGTAGCAGAAGTCATTCCCATTCAGAAATAAGAAGTCCAGACTTGCATATGAAACCTACAAAGGTACCAGTGGACTCAGGGCTTTAAAGACAGCCCAGGAAAACACATTAAGTGAAAGCCCAGCCCAGTAAATAGCAAAGGGGAAAGAAGGCTTTTAGGGTAAAATACCTAACACTTGTTACCCAAGATGTGGCCCAGGGAGCTAAAATCATTGCTATGGGAATGCAGAATCTCAGGTCCCACTGGCTGAACCAGAATGAGCCAGTGAAATCCCAGGGACTCTGTGAGCACATTAAAGCAACACATTGCCCCAATCTTAGAAGGCTAATTAAGAAATCTGCCTTGTTCTCAGGCAAAGAGTAAGCTTACTATGTGGCCTTGGGCAGATAACAGAATTCTCTGTGATTGGTTGCTTCCTTTGAGTTGTAAAATGAGAACAATAAGTATGTAATGAATTATGAGATGCTTCAAAAATACAAAGCACTTTTCAGTATTAGAATTCTCGTCACCACTATTTTATATACAGCATCGTGTACTTCACCACATCACCTACAATCATGCAACCCAAACACTCTTGTGGGGTAAAGGTATACTACGCTTGTCATTTCACAGGCATCGCAAATGTCACAATAAACGCCTGTGAAATGGTTTTTGAAATGTATTATTTAGAAACATTCTAAAAATTTTCTCTTCTTAAGTATATATTTTATATCATAAAGCAGCTAAATAGCCTAACTGATTTACAAAACGATTGCACAATTACATTTATGGGAAGTCTGCTATTTTTTTAATTTTTAAAATATTAAAAATATTTTTACTATTAAAAAAGAGCAAAAATTTGTACCGCTCCTTGATAAGTAATTTTTTAAAAAATGACAGCTAATTTGGATGAGATCCCCTATATTATTTTCTACTTCTTTTGCCATGTTTGTCTATGATAGTTAAAATTATACTTAAAGAGGCCAGGGATATAGCTCAGTGGCACCGTGCCTGCCTGGCAAGCATGAAGCCCTGAGTTCAGTTCCCGCTACCAAAACAGAAAAGATTGCATTTACATTTATTACACTAGACATCCAAGATACTTTATGAAGACTTAATAATTTCAATTTAAGATTAAATATTGAATGTTCATCATTACTGAAACTTCTTATGTCAATAAATCCATGCACTAAGGCTAAAGTCTATGTCAAGGACTCATATCCTGATTATTTTGTTTGACTTACCCCCAGGAAAGTATCCACTACAAACACCGCCGGTGGGTCTAGAACTGTCCATAGACCCATGGTAATGATTAACTTTGACAGGACATCAGGGCAGGAGGCAAACAGCAGCTGACAGCCCCATCTGATCAGAACTAAAAGGAATACAACCGCATTCAGCATTAAAGGCCCCGCCACAATCACGGCCAGCTCTTCTGCGATGCTTAGTGAAGACCATTGGTAGCAAAGCTCAACCGTGTAGGGGTAAAGATGGAACCTGAGGGAACAAAGTATGAATCACACACTTACAAACAAGCAGAATTAAAGTGCCAAGTCTGCAAAGCTATTCAAAGAACTGTGTGTTTTGTTTTCTTCTTTTAAAACCATAGAAAACTCAATACTTAAGAAAACTTGATCCAAAAACTTAAAAGAAAAGAAAAGAAAACTTGACATGAAATTAAATGTTAGATATCTTCATCACTTCCTGATCCTTCAATAATACCTGGAGAATTCACAATCAAGGAAAAGGCAAATGCAACTGTTTTCATGGATCTTGTCAAAGGGCATGGAAATTATCTTAGCACAGGAAGTACGTCAAACAGAACTGCAAAACAGAGCAGTCTCTGGACGGCAAGCTTACAGCTCACAGTACTTATGTGTAGACTATTTTAGATGCAAAGCGTAAAGGTGGACTTCCTAATAGCAATGAAATAGAGACATCTTGTAAATCTAATCATTCTTCAGGATTTCATGTAGCTGACTGACTTTAACATTAATTCCTCTCTAGGTAGACTCCTAAATTCACAAATAACACCAGCATCTCTGGCAACCACCACTTCACCCTCCTTAGTCTAATCAGCTCTGGAGCTCAAGCAGCCTGATCCAGGATTATATACCACCTTTTGTGCAAAGTAAGTGTTTGGGCCACAGAATTTTCTCTCCCCTGAGTTTCAGCCAATGGAAAGTTGCTTCATAATTAATTCTGTCTGTGCATTTTGTTTATCAGTGGCCTACTAAAGAGATCTTCATTTATTCTATTCTTTCACTTTGATTTCTAAGTAAGGGTTTTGTTTGTTTTTGCAGTATTAAGGATTGCCAGGGCCTTCACACAAAGTTATACTCCTCTATTTTTTTTTAAAGTATTTTTATTTTCAGACAATCTTGGAAAGTTGCTAAATGGTCCAAGTGGGCCTTGAGCTTGGTATCCTCCTGCCTCAGCATTCCGGAGAGCTGGATTACAGGTGTGTACTGCCACAAGTCTCTGTATGCTTTTGCTCATAACTTGTAAATATCAAAGCATATTTCTTAACACAGTATGCAGCACAGAGGGATAACAAAAGAAATGCTCGCGGTGAGTGTTGTTGTTACTGTAGGTCACAGTTAGGATGTGACACAGGCTACTGCATGATCCACAACTGAGGACCAGACGACAACCAGAAAAACAGCTCATGAAAGATTAAGTCCTCTGTTGCCTAAGACACTGGTTCATCCTGGCTGTTGAGATATTTCCTGTCAACTCATTCTTACTAACAGCTAATAAAGATAAGGCTTCCTTTTCTATTAAAGAATAAATGAGCTAACAGGAAAAATAACAAGCCTAAACATACAATATTTATCTTTTCTGTTTTGGAGTCCTTCAGATAAACAAAGAAGAACATGAACAAAAAGAAAGAACAAAATGAAATATAGGAATATCCAGCAATATTAATGTTGAAAAGCCCTCCCTCAAAAATGTAGTTAGCTAATTAATGTACATGTATTTATCTGCAATATATTCAGGTATTCATAATTTACTATTAATATACATAGACATATACATATACACACCATTTTTGATAGTATATTCTATTTCTTTTATAAGTAGCCCATTTATTTTCATTAACTTTTAAAATTGTTTGTGATCTGCTTAATTGAAAATATAAACACATCTTTGTTTTTATCCATACCATCTACATTTGAGAAAATGCATCTCCCTTGTATTGTCATCTATCTGCCTGTCTATCTACAGTGCCGACAAAATTATGTTTATAGAGAGATAACCTTTAAAGTGTCATCTTTTCCCACAGGATAATGGCCCAGAAAGCTGCCTGGGTTTGAGTTCAGTAATTGTTTGAATTCAATCATTTTGCACAAAAAGCAATCTTTGCTTCTCTGAGTATAGGTAATAAATCAGACTTAGGTTACTCTGAAATACCTTCCGCCTAAGTCACTCTGATAAAATCAAAACAGAATAAAAACATGGGTGCTAAGTTCCTTGTTTGGATTCTGCTCAGATATTAGAACGTATTTGAATCTGCTAAGTTTTAAATAAATATTTATGTGCCTGTTGTGTATCTGTGTATACAGGGTCCACAGTAAGATGAGACTGTAACTGTAATAGAAGTTCTTGTTCCCAGATAAAGACATTTGTGTCTTTTTAAATTTTACCTCCATTCTAGGTTTTCCAGTAAATGGACAGGAGAGGTATTTTGTACATTCACTGTCATATTAATACAATGAAAATATATTCTTTCAAATTTCCGAGAAGTTACTCACTTTGTCACTGGAGTGGAGATGGCCTGGAGGAAAAGCCACTGGCCAAAGTAATGCAGGCAGAGCCTCAGGAAGCAGAGGGAAGCCATCAGCAGGAGGGTGTACCAGAAGCCCGGGCTTTGCCACTGTGCAAACTGCAGTTCTGAAAACACCGACATCCTCACAAAATGGAGATGCTTGAAGAGCCCTCCAGGTCCAGGTCCACTACTACCAGCCACCGAAGCACTGCTGCAAAGAAGGACAACAGACACATCCTGCATGCTCTGGGTCGCAAATACCTCCCGGTGGCTCATGCTTCATAGCTTGGTCCCCAGCGGATGGCACTTTTGGGAAGCAGCAGAAACTCTGGGACACAGGACTGAGTTGGAGGGGGCAGGTCCCTGGGTCACGCCTGTGAAGGGGATATTGGGTCACCAGCCCCTGGTGCTCCCTACTTTTCTCCCTCTTTCTCTGCTTCCTGTCTGTCGTGAGGTGAGCTGAGCTGCTTTGTTCCACCATGTGCTCCCCACCACAGTGAGAAAATGAATGTTGCTTCACCACAGGCCCAGAAGCAACAAAGCCAAGGACCCTGCACTGGGACCTCTGGAACGGGCAGCAAGGAGAAACCTTTCCTCCTTGAAGTCGCTTTTCCCAGGTATTTCATCATAGCAATGGAAAGCTCGCTGACACATATTCTGAGCTTGTAGCACAATTTTGAAAGAATTATTCTGACTATTATAATAGAGACAATGTGGAATTAAACTGAATGAAATTACTTTAAACATGTGATAATTGAAAATATTTATGTTTCTGTTTGTTATAATGGATGACCAAAGGGAACATAAACACATATCAGTGAAAAGCAAATCAAAATTACAGAGAGTTATGGGTTACTTAAAAATAAAAAGAAAATAACAATTACTAGCAAAGATATGGAGAAAACAGAATCCCGTGCACTATTAACAAGAGAGTAAGATGATTCAACCTCTAGGACACACACTCCTAAAATTAAAATATGCAATTACTATATGATCAAGAAATGCCACAGCTGGATAAAGACTGAAAGCAGCATACAGAATTGAAAGTAGCGTGTATAAGTGGCATCTGTACATCTCAGTATTAGCTACAAGAGCCACCACATGCAGACAACATAAATGTCCACTTATGAATTAATAAAAAAAGTGTACATAAAATGGAATATTATTCAGATTATTTTTTGAAAAGGAAAATTCGACAAGCTCTAACATGAATAAAGCTTGTGGATGTTATACTAAACAAAATAATCTAGTCACAGAAGGACGAATATTGAGTGGTTCTGCTAATACAAAATATCAGTAGTAGTTAGAATCATAGCAACAGAAAGTAGAATGGTAGTTTCCCAGGGCTGGGGAGAAGGGAATTGTTGGGAGCTGCTGTTTCACGGGTACAGAGTTTCAGTGTTACAAGATAATACATTTCTAGAGTTGGCTATGTGGCAATATGCATATACTTATATTTAAAATATGAATATTTAAATATGAACATACTGTACATTTAACCCTATGGTTAAAATGATCAATTTTATGGTATCTTACTATGATTTTAAGTTTCCCACCATAGTCTTTCTTCATAAAGATTTGACTTATGAGTATGTAATCTGTTAAAGATCAGCTATTTCATGTATAAAATTAGCGTTATTAACATACCATTAAAATACACAAATAAGAATTATTTCATTCCTTAACACATTATAGATATTTTGTGTCAAAATAAATATAAAAGAATCCCATGACAATTGTTGTGATTTAGCTCTGATTACCACTCTGCGGTTACCTCTGGGATATTTTCATAGTTTCTAAAATTACAGTTTTTGTGAGAAAGAAGACGAAGAGGTCTCCAAAACTAAGGGCGCAATCAGAAACAATTTATCCAAGAATATACAGAGGTAATACGGAGTTATCACAGTGCAGAGAATAAAAGGCTGTGACCTAATACCCTGGGTAAAATTCTCTTTACCTACATTTTCTCATCCAGAGAAAGAAAACAGTAGCACTTCCCACATCCCAGGGTCAGCCTGTCTCTCTGTCAACAGATGTAAAACATGACTCGTCTGTCACAGTAGTGAATACTTAACATGCAAAACCTCCTTTCTCTTCTCATTCTGAACAGTGCTATACTGAGAAAGGACAGGTTTTCATCATTCCTCCCAAATTTAGAAAATCTGCACAAAGGATACCACTTTTTATATTTTTCCCTTTAATTTTGAAGAGTTACAAATATAAGTATGCAAGTATTTATTATTTAATTAAAGCAGTTAAGGTCATTAGCATCTATCATGTGATTAATTAACCCAGGACTTGAACTTCCTAGGAGCTAGCCTCCAGATTCCTGGGCTAGCTTGTCTAATTCCACTCTAGAGTGATTTTCTGAGTGATTCACTAAATTAATCACCAAAAATAGTCCTAATGATAAACATGCCTGCCAAAGTGGAAACTAGCACGAGAATGAATAGTTCATTTGACTTGGAGACTAACCTCTGGAGAGCAGAACACAGAAAGAAATGAAATCCATAGATAATCTATGCAAACATATACACACAAATATGTAGTTGTTTTACTAGTACATGTGTACCGAACACGATGTCTACATTCATTTTATGGAATGGGTACATGTATTCTACACATCTAGATTCATTTTATTCCCCTCCCACCCACCTTCCTTCCTCCATCACTAGATTCCCTTTCCCCATTTTCATTATCATTGTTACTATTTTTTTAGTTTATGCTTACAGCATACAACGATCACATTCACTGTGGGAAGCTGAGACATGTACATGATGCATCTTGCATTTTTTTTTAAACATCCTTTCTGAAGACTATCAAATATGATGGCAATTTTGGCAAAGAGAGAAGATAAATAATGGAAACAAAAGTCTGACAACAGTAACCTAATTAAATGGAAGACAACCCACATCCTTAACTGTAGATTTTTGGTCTCCGTGGGACTAATGGGTCATCAAAAGTGTCACTGACAGTTCCTTTGTGGTGATCTTGTCTGTATTTTGCCGTGAAGATGTGGAGGCTCGCCTAACTGAAAACTAGTCTCTATATTGAGCTTGTTTTTCAATTACACAAATGGAGGACCAGACAAACAGGAAGCAGATTCCCTCACACACCGCGCCGAGGCTTTGCTTTATACCCAGTGATGCGGTCAAAGAACTGAGTGTCCTACCGAAGAATCCCAGAATACCTTACTGTATGTGCCATCATATGAAATGAAATCCAGAGCTGTCTACACTGCTAAAGTCAAATACCCTTTACATGATCTCTTTTTTCAGTTAATTATTCTGTCACTGTTTAGCCTCTTCAAAGGGAAGGGAAAATCAAATGCAGATTTGCCATTGTGTTGTTTGCAAAAAACTGGAAAATTTCAAATGATGAAAAACAGAAAAGACAGTAGCTTCTTTGACCTTTGGAAATTTCCACTGTTGTTTTCATATCCATTGACATAAATGACTAAGTAACTGTGCTCGGGCACTGAAACCACTATAAAGTCATGCTTTTATCATTTGTTTCACTAATAAAATGCTTCTAAGCCACCCTCAGAAACCGATATTTATTAGACTTCTGATTTAGAGCAAACAGTACTAAAATTTCACTATACGTCTTTTGTATTTAATTCAAACTATTCAATTATCTCATTCCTTGGCAATGCAATATTTGCTTTTATTTGTTTAATATTGATAACTCTTATCAGCTGGATCTAAAGATGTAGGAAAATTTTTGAAACAGTCCTTTTGGAATTTTAAATTTTACATGTTACAAAGTCAGAAAGTATTAAGCAAATTAGCTGGTTAGGGATAATGCCAAATAAAAGAAAGCATCAAAAACTACATTGATTGAAGAAAGCACCGTATTAGCCTCATAAGCAATGCCCATACGACAACAAAATGTGGTAGTTCTTTTATTTTAATAATGTTGAATTTGTACCTGAAATCTCAGTGTGGGCTGATATAGAATTTTATTCACAGCTATCTCTATCAATCAGTCGTGAAATATATTTCATTCAAAAACAAGTGTGCGGCATGCTTTAAAACTGTCTTCACAGAGAGCACCTTTGTTAATATTGTCAACATGCAAGGCACATTATGAAATGCAGCAGCACTGCAGAATATCTTCAACTACATTTCAACTGTTCTTTCTTCCTCTGTAATCTTTCTTGGTTATGTACAAAGAGTATGACCATCAAAAGGATAATAAATGGCCTCTGCCACTGGGGTGTGTAATACGCATAGTGGGAATTGATTTGTTGGTTATGAGGGAAGCCATAGAGCACACAGATCACTGCAAAATCACATTGAGGCCAGCAGCTACTCCTCAGTTCACGCAGCCAGCTCCCCTATCGCTCACGGGGGGAGCTGCCAGAGGCTGAGAAGAATGGGAAGGTCATTTGGTATGCAGCCATTAAATGAAACCTATTTCTCTGAACTTCAGCCGCATTTCATATGACACACATATATCCCACTTGCATCCCCAGTCCTCACAGGGACTTGAAATCCAACAAGATTTCTGTGATCCATCAGTGTAATAATATAAATAATAATACATAAAAAGACCAAAATTGCTTTTAAAAAGTATGGAATGCACTCTTAAGCTCTTTTCTATAATGAACAGAAATCCTAAGGGTTGGTACACAGTGAAGACTTGTTACCCATCAGTTGTGCATGATAATCCTTATTTTAAAATCACTGCCAATAGATGGCACTAAAATTTCCATAGTCTCTTCTTCTGGCATAACCATAGGTTTCCAGATGCAACATTTTTAAAAAACTAAGTGTTTTAAAAATATTTAAGTACTAGTAAGTGTTTATTTGGGTACTTGTCATTTTGTACTGCATTCCATTAATCCACAGGTTTTGAGATGTTTGTCTTCAGTGACTGTGACTTTCTAATAAGTTTTCAGGAAACAAGTAAAAAAAAAATTCAAAGAAACATATTTAAGTCAAGTCATGGTCCTGTTAAGAGTTCATAATATTCCTCAAACTTCTGTAAAAGCTAACCAAAAGCCCAAATCAGGTAAGCAATTTTCTCATGAACACCATAAAGAATATTCTAAATATATGCTTCTAAAAGGGCTCTCTAGAGAAAAAGATTCAATATAAAATATATGTACAAGAGTACAAAAGATTTTTCAGATTGGTTTACAGGATCAGAATGGAGAGAATCTCAATGGCCAGCTGCTAGATCACAGATGACAAAATCTGAAATGGC